CTTCTTCTTCTTCTTCTTCTTCTTCTTCTTAGCTCGACAAACCCGAACGATCTTTCATTTGTCTAACATTTTTAGAAATTTCACGATAATTCTCCCGACACATTTTATTCTTCTGAACTCTGGAGTCCCTGCAGGGAACTCCTCCGACAGTATTATATTCTATAAACGCGACGGCAACGCCAACTTTCCATCACGATTTATCAAAACTTCACGATCCTTCGTTTCTCCAATAAATTCACTTCTTCCTCGAATAATTTCAAGCACGCGACATTCGTGTTACGACTTCATGTGCGAATAAAATCGTCTGCAACCGGTCGATCCGTTGGAAAAGGGGCACTCGACAGCTATTAGGCAAACCACTTGAAATGCAAAGTCAATTATCGATCAACCGGTGGCTAGGTGTCCGTTAGCAGATCGAGGGCTAACAGTCCAAGTCCCCCTCTTATTGTCCACATGTGTTAACACTCGCGAGGATCCGCGACAAAAACGTGCCTTCGACTGGACACCGTGTTAATTTCGCGAAGGATCTCCGAAGGATCCACTCGATTAACCTTCTACAACCAGAACTTCCTTCACTCGTACTGGGAAAATACTGTAACATAGCTGTTTGTTGCTTCAATTTCGAGCCTGAGAATCCCTTTGCAAGCAGAATTTCGTTGGCTCCCTTGAAGAATTTCAAATCTGGATAATACCTATAATCCTCTGTAAGTGGAATTTCGTTTACCTTGTGAAAGAAAAAAATGTTGTTACGGATCTTTAATTGCGGTGATTTCAAAGCTGGATACTAATGATTATAACTGTTATTATTAGCAGAATTTCGTTCGCCTATAAAGAGGCAAAGATCTCTGCAGATCTTCGATTGTAGAAATTTACTCCAATTTCAAATTTATATAAGTGAAATTTAAAATAATCTGTCTTTGATTGCAGAGATTTGCATCAATTTCAAGCTAATAATTATACTGTATAATAACTATAACTCTCTGTAAAGAGAATTTTATTTACTTGAAAGAGGGAAAAATGTAGATCTTCAATCACAGAGATTTACACCAATTTCAAATTTCTATTTGATATTAACGATAATAATAATAATCCTCTGAATGCAGAGTTTGCTCAAAAGAGGAACTTCAACTAGTAATTAGTATAAATAAATATCTCTATTTTTACAATATTTCATCGATGAAATGCAACAAGCGCGTCAAATAAAATTACCGAAACCGTGGACGTATCGTTATGCAAAGTTATAGAAGATTAACGCTGATTCCAACTGCGTTCAGGAGGAACGATACCAGGGATTATTACCGTTGCCTGAGAAGATACGAGAAACTTTGGAGCCTCTTATAATCGATAATCGATAGCTTCGCAAACGAGTTTCAAAACTTGAGCGATTCGCTCTGTAATTCATCTGTGTGTTAATCTGCAAGTCGGGTTGCGTCTCTCAATCCTTTCGTCGACGCGGCTCTCCCCAACTTTGCTAGCCCTTTCTCTATCGAGGACGTAAAATTCTCTGTCGTAGAATTCGCTCTCTCCGGCGAAGCACATTGCTCGGTGGCTCGGTGTTTTACAAGCTATAAATTACACCAACTTTCCTTTATTTTCCGTGGAAATTTTTAACGAACTTTCGCCTCGAGTCTTTTATATAAGTAAGTTATATAAAACTTTGGTTGCATGTTCTTTGGCTGGTTTTTTGGTTTCTGCTTTCATGCGACAGTGGCACACGAACTTTTCACGTTTATCGTTCCTCCTGAAATACCATCGACGTTCGTTTCTACCTCCGTGTGCTACCACCCTGGCCTTTCTCCCCGTCTACGTTTTAGAAATGCTGCTCCAAGTCACTCCCCCTTTGTTGCGTTTGTTTGCGTTTCAATCTGGAAATGTTCAAGCTTTTGATCGATTTCTTCGGTATCGCGCTCTTTCTTCGTTTGTTCCATCCGGGGGGAACAACATCTTTGAAACCCGTACTTACTTAGTCAGTTTCGACTAACAGGATTCAACTAATTAACAATTCTTTTCTTTTACTTCAAACGACGAACTTCCCTGGCAACGCTCTTAGAATTCGTGTCTATTTGTTCTTCAGTTAACATCTTCTCCTCTGATTCTTTCTTAGCACTTTCTTCCGCGAGGTGTTGAATCTCTTTTGAATAAATGAAACGTTCTTGAAACTTATAATTATTTACGTATATATGTTCATCAAACGTCCAACCATTTCTTTTGATCATTCACAATCGCGACTTTATTCTTATAAACACTTTTATGAACAAATAATGTCCTCGAAACTCGTAATTATTCCGTATAGTTCGTGCAACGTAAACAAATCAATCAATTGTTAATTATCGCTGCTTCTCTTCAAACGAAGTGAATTCCTTTCGAGCAAACAACACTTTTGAGAAGATCATTTCTTTTTCCCTTTTCACACTTTTTTTTTCTTAAAATGACGAATTTCTTTGGGATCAAAGACACACTTAACATTCGTATTATATTCCAAATCGTCCTTTTTATCATCCTAGTAACACTTGTTCTCTTCTCAAAATTCCTATTCCTACCTATCAACCCTTCAATAATCAATTTCTTCTTCCAATCGACCAATCTTCCTAAATAACACTTGTTCTCTTTTCAAAATTTCTGTTCCTACCTTCAATTATCTCAAATAATCAATTTCAACCAATCAATTTCTTCTTATCATTCCTAAACAATGCTTTTCCTCTTCTCAAAATTCCTATTTCTACTTATCAACCCTTCAATAATCACTTTCTTCTTCCAATCGATCTAAGTAACACTTGTTCTCTTTTCAAAATTTCCTACCTTCAATCGTCCCTAATAATCACATCCAATTAAC